TGCCAATGGAGGCTGCGCTAACCGACCTGTACTGTTTCCATGATAACTATTTTGAGTATCATCTGTCAATCGTAGCCCTGCACATGAAGGGTTTGAGTCCTGACGCAAATGATACATAGGTAAAAGGCCACCTGTACTGACCAACATTCCGGCCGACGAACTGTGCATTGCGGGCACACCATGGTAAAGCTGCCCAAGACGTCCGACCTGATATCCATTGCCAGGATAGCCAGGTGACCCAGAGCCAACTTGAGGGGCCCGTGAGGGAGACATAAGCGAATCTATCGTAAAAGCCATGAGAAGTTTTGGTGTTGGCTTGTTTCGTACATCAACTCGTCAATCGTCTGCGCGAATGAACGCATTGGCATTGTTTGTAGGGTTCGCTTGATCGTCAGCTAAGGAGCTGATGCAACATACAAGTGATCAATCACGAATAACCACATCAAATACCTGATTCTAGATCAGTTCAGAGGGGATCCTACATCGGAGGCCAGGAGCTACGAGCGGAACATCTGATTGGCGGGGCGGAGACTACTGGTCTTACACAGATAGTCACTATACTAAATACTTCGATCCTATTGGTCGAATATCTTTGCAGTTGGCTACGGGATCGCTCTTGCGTAAGAATTCATTTAAACAGACTGACAAAGAAAAACACAGATCAGTCTTGTGGTTCGGGGATTTATTCGTGAACAGTTTAGCGTCAAGTATATACAACAGACTACTACAACAAGACTCTGCCTACTAATGAACTATTTAACGAATGTAAGAAGTCTTACGCTAACTTGGAATGCATCGAGTTTTGCTTGCGAAGTCTGACTAAAAAAAACAACAACAAACAATTGAACGAACTAAAAGATCAATTCTTAAAGAGCGAACAAATCGCATCAAATACACGTACATGGTGTTAGGATCTGTCTCTTATACACATCTAGATGTGTATAAGAGACAGATATTAGAGTTATACCTTGCCAAAAATAATTTACCTAAATAAATGAACATTTGTTTCAATTATTTAGCCAATTTTTTCTGTATAGAATTTTGTTATTAAAATTATAATACAACTACAGTAAAATACAATACGGTGTGTATAGTACAATGCTGTATAACAAAACATAATATAACAAAACATATTATAATATCACATAACATAACAAAACAACATAACATAATAAAATTCAAAACATATTTAAAAACCATTGAATCAATGTTTCGTACAAAAATAAATGTAAGGTTGAAAAGTTTACTATTTACAAATAATTTCGTTAGTTTTCTGAATATATACACTTGTTTGCAGTATTTATTAACGTACACTGTTAGATTAATCGTTAACGTTTGTGTTATAACAAGACATAAACTTACCCTTAAACATTGCACTGTCTGCAGGCATATTAGCGGTACCGTCCATTGCATGTCGAGTCATCCCTAAACCGCCACAGAGGTTTGCCCCCAGACCAGGTGGTAGGGGTGACGATACGGGAGGCGGCGCGGACTGCATCGGCGAGTGTACCGATGAAGACGTAAACGATCCATACTGATCAGTATATGCCAATGGAGGCTGCGCTAACCGACCTGTACTGTTTCCATGATAACTATTTTGAGTATCATCTGTCAATCGTAGCCCTGCACATGAAGGGTTTGAGTCCTGACGCAAATGATACATAGGTAAAAGGCCACCTGTACTGACCAACATTCCGGCCGACGAACTGTGCATTGCGGGCACACCATGGTAAAGCTGCCCAAGACGTCCGACCTGATATCCATTGCCAGGATAGCCAGGTGACCCAGAGCCAACTTGAGGGGCCCGTGAGGGAGACATAAGCGAATCTATCGTAAAAGCCATGAGAAGTTTTGGTGTTGGCTTGTTTCGTACATCAACTCGTCAATCGTCTGCGCGAATGAACGCATTGGCATTGTTTGTAGGGTTCGCTTGATCGTCAGCTAAGGAGCTGATGCAACATACAAGTGATCAATCACGAATAACCACATCAAATACCTGATTCTAGATCAGTTCAGAGGGGGATCCTACATCGGAGGCCAGGAGCTACGAGCGGAACATCTGATTGGCGGGGCGGAGACTACTGGTCTTACACAGATAGTCACTATACTAAATACTTCGATCCTATTGGTCGAATATCTTTGCAGTTGGCTACGGGATCGCTCTTGCGTAAGAATTCATTTAAACAGACTGACAAAGAAAAACACAGATCAGTCTTGTGGTTCGGGGATTTATTCGTGAACAGTTTAGCGTCAAGTATATACAACAGACTACTACAACAAGACTCTGCCTACTAATGAACTATTTAACGAATGTAAGAAGTCTTACGCTAACTTGGAATGCATCGAGTTTTGCTTGCGAAGTCTGACTAAAAAAAACAACAACAAACAATTGAACGAACTAAAAGATCAATTCTTAAAGAGCGAACAAATCGCATCAAATACACGTACATGGTGTTAGGATTAGTGTTACTGAATATTCTTTCATGTCAGACTCACAAACACATCTAGGTAATCCAATTGATAACATAAATGGTGAATCCAAAACAGAATAAAACAACAATAACAGTTACACTCGCTACTAATCTACAACTACAATAGCTTACCACTACATAATTAACAACAAACAGTCTCGGCTCTTCTACGACATCATGAACACCAAAACAAATTCATCGATTCGAGTAGCTATATTTTCAAAAGGAAATCGAAATTAATTCAAAAGAAATCTTTAAAATGAACAACATTAATTTTTGATGCAAATTTTTATACTCGTTTAATAATTGGCAGCAGGTGAGCACACTAGTTTAACAAAGTGATCTCCATCATTTATATTTTTGTTAGAAGCTCCTGAAAATATTTGTACTTAGAGGCATTAATGGTAGGATATTGTAGTTTGAAACAACTTTATCAAAATTATTTTTGAGCAATATCACATTGTTTTTGCTATTATTATTATTATATTATTATTATTATTATCATTACAATAATAATTATTATTATTATCATTATCATTATTATTATTATTATTATTATTATTATTATTATTATTATGTTACTAAAACCTACCTTAGAGGGAAACTTAGACAATGTTAATATTTCTAATGTTATTATTGCAAGAACAATACTGTACGTAATAATACTTATAATTGGTAATATTACATTTTTGTGATTAGATAACACTCGATCTCTAAGTTTGTTATATATATTGTTTTGAGCGAGTCGAGTGGCTGAGCGGTACCGTAAGGCAGGGGCGACGCTAGCTACAGCCTTAACATCGGCGCTGGTTCCAGCCGCTCCTCTCCTAGGGTTCGGCTGGTAGCCAAGTCTTCTCGGATAAAGACTTAAAATGGAGGTCCAGTGTATGCTCGTGTGCACTTTAAAAAAACCCATTGCATCTTTCGGAAGAGTAGGGGTTCCTCTGATGTTATTGTTCATTTCAGCCCCTGTCGTTGTGGAATGATGTGAACTTGTAGCTATTAGGCCTATAAGCGCCTCTTTACGTTTGCTAGGTAGCACGGACCACGCCCATACGCCATTCAGCACAATGACGCTGCAAGTTGGGTTATTGTCCTACCTTTACCTTTATATATTAGAGTTAAACATCCAAGAAGAGTAAAATTAAAATTGAAAGAGGCGTCCATATAAATATAACGTTTTTGTTTATTATATACTGAAATAACATTGTAGTGTTACGCTCACTGCATTCTCAACCTGAATCAATGGACTTTTTACTCTACTTGGGAAAATACAATTCAAATGTGCCCTACGGCGCATCTATTATTGTATATTCAGAGCTTCCATGGTGAACGAATACGCAATTTCACACAGTACATTCATGTATAGTCTAATTGTCAAAGTTTAGATTACACTTCCAATAATCTTATAACTCTTAAATAATCTTTTTTTAAGTTTTACTATTCTCCCTTCTGTTTTGTTTATGATGTCATATTATTTTTCTCTATCGAACATAATCATATATAAAAAGCAACGAATATTTGAAAAAATAAATTCTTTGAGGGCTAAATATATAAATTTATATAAAAAATGAACCTACTGGAGTGAAACACAGACCTAACTATTTATAATATAGGTCTATATATACATTATATAGCGTTTTAATATAAGAACAAATAATGTATATAAGCTATAAATACTTATAAAAAAAGGATTCTGACAATGAGAGAATAAAACTCATGCTCCGTTAAATGTTTTATATTTAAACAAACTTTTATATTGTAAGCATTTGTTTTTTAGGTGTCCCACCCGACAGTGATTAGGCCTAAGTTCATTTTTGATGTGTCTTGTCTAATATTTGTCTGGGCTGGTTCCTTGCTGTTTCTTATATTTTAAATATTAGTGTTTTGTGACAAATAAATGAAATAAAATGAAATGTATATAATATATAATATATAATGTGTATATATATAATATACATATAATGTGTATATATACATATATACATATATGTGTTTATATATATATATATATATATATATATATATAATATGTATATACTGTATATGCCATGTAGTACACATTCGTGATCCAAGTATATATAGGCCTCATAGAAGCAACTACATTAAAAGCCATGATGGAATAAGAGAGACAGAAACTATTTCATGAAGAGACAAAGAACGTAGATAAGTGAGTTGTGTTTACATTTTGACGGATCAATTGACTAAAATGCTTAGAGAAGTGAATGACCTCATTAAAACGATATATCGGAATTTGGGTTACAAGCTGGGACTACCTAGCCGTCTTCTGGTGCACAAATATACAGCAGGACGAGCCCTACGAATGTTGTGCTATTGTCTGTCGCGACACATCAGTCGGCACGGGGGCATTGCGTCGATTAACCCATCAGTCTGCCTGACCACGCCTGTCCAATAAGCTAACCTTGTCAAAACGACTTCCAAACAGCTTCTTTTATTTGTTTTGAGTTTAGAATGATCGTTTACTAATTAGTAAGTTGGTGACAGATTACAACACAAAACAGGTAAAAATAACACACTGTCTCATAAACGGGAACTCCACACACTATCAAAAGGCCTACCACAGTCAAATCAAGAGCTGGTACCAACCCGTACTATACAGTGTACAGTGCTTTTGGTTGGATTGTAATGGATTAAGCCTAAATAGTGATGTATGTTTTTTACAGAAAAAAACTTCTATCTATTTGTTTAGTGTCATTCGACATGCCAAAACTTTAAAGTACGACATGGTAGCTTGTACTCACTCATAAATATAAGAAGAATATACAATATCAGTGTACTGGCCGATACCAATTTATTTCAGTTATGGGCATTATAATTTGTTTTGTCAGACACAATATATACTTACACCAATTACTCTTTCAGTAATTATCTATACACTGATCAAATTAATAATGAAATTATTATAATTGTCCATACATTCATATAATTATCCGACACGTGACCGTTCTATTTTATAGTGTTGTAATAATTATGTATGGCTACTGAAAAGAGGCGAACATCTGCAGGCTGTCACGTGATGACAATACTGCGACTAAAGGATTTGGGTTTATCAAAGAGGATGAGTACGGCAGTTCCGAATAAACACGATATCAGCTCAATAAAGATGATAGTTTACACATGCGCACTTACTGATGGGTTACCAATGATGATGGTCGTGAAATTCTATCATACACCTTTCTTATTACAATATCAAAGTACAATATTGTATCCCATCCAATATTATCTGATTGATGCCATTTATATAAAATTTAAAATTAATATTAACGAGAGGAAAATAATAGGCAAGTTAGGAGAAAAAAAAATAACGAGTTTAAAAGTTGTTAGCTTAGTCTTACACCTAAATCAGTTTACTCCATAATATCATAGACTCGTAATGTTCACATTAAACATGAGACCCATATTCGATATTGAGTCTTTGGTAATGCGTAAACATAAAAACAAATATAGATTTCATATAATAACCATACTAATAAAAGAACACATGTCTTTTTAACGGCTTTATATACCATTATACAAATCGGGTGCATAATTCTCCAATATGTTGTGTTTGTTGTTGAATATATGAATACATTAATGAAATGAATGAATCTATAATTTTAAAAACACCCTGAAACACGTTCATAGATCTAATTGAAAGGGAATGAAGTTCACATTGTTAAAGTGACTGTTGTCGGCAAGTGTTCGTCAAAGAAGAATCACAGCACAAAGCCTAATAACCGGTCCATAGGATTATTTTAATGGTTTCGATCTAACGCTTTACATTTGTTTAGGACATGACTACGCGATGATGCTTCGGCCTTGGATTTTATTGTGTTGCGATTTGCACACCAGTCAGCCATTTCCAATTAACTCATTTTCATTCGATCTCAAGTTTTATGTTTGCTCTTTTTGCTTTGTAAAATTCTTGTAAACAAATTCAGAGGATACTGAAGGATGCGTTTAATAGTCTTAAATATAGTTTATTGTTAGATTATATACCGGTATTTACACAGATTATTATAGAGAAAGTAAAAGAAAGTGGTATCACGAAAATCTATATTAAATATCTTAAAATGAAAGCAATATAATAACTATTCAAATGTATTTGGGGAAACAATCAATAAAGAGTTCTACTTCAGTTTTCCTCCTTTGCTTGCAAATCCAATTAAATATATTGAATTGTACTGTATTCTGTTTTAATGCTGGAAGTAAAAGATTACAGTATTGTATTGTATTGTATTGTAAAATGACAGTTAAATTACTAAAAGCCTAGTAATAATTATCAGGCTAAATAATAATAATAATAATAATAATAATAATATTTATAAAAATAATAACAGTAACAGTATCAATAATGATGATAGTATCAATAATATAGTAACATAAAGAATATTAGCAATATCAGTAAAATGATAATGATAAAAATATTGATAATGATAATAATACAGGTCTCCCTCCAATTAAAGAACATTTTTGGGACCGGGTTTCCATTGTCTTTAGTGGCTTTGGAATAATCGAGATAA